AAAAATGAATGACACTAATTTTATATCATTGTAACTTTGCTTTCCACACACTTTAAGTACTTCTTCATATACCACAGCAAAAACTATAGTCTGAGAAAGTTCAAACATGATTAAAGGCAAGTGAACAATCAGTAAAAGAAAAAAAAAGAACAAATACACTAATTACATGCACAGATAAATACAATAACAGTTACAAAAAAAAAAGTCTAATAGTAGTATTCAGGTAGAGAAATGTAATAATTAAGTGTAAAATACTGCATTGTGTTCACTGTATGAATTAAATTTAGATTAATCTTTGTTAAAGCTGTGTTTTATTGTTTGATTAACATTAGTGACATATTCAGCAGCAGGTATTTATAGGCTGCTGTCCCTTTAAGACGGAGTGCACGGATCTAGTATAATAATACACATTCGATTTCTTTCTCAGCTGTTTACATTCATTTAAAACATAACTGACTGCGTTTACGAGAATGATCGTCGAGACATTATTTTGACAATTCTGTGTGTATGTGTCTTTTCAAACATAAGGAGATGCGAAAGACGAATCAACTCTGTGTTAGTGGGGTCAGAAACGTGTCTCTCTGTGTGTGTGCGGCGACTGTGCGCACAGAAAACTGAAGAGATCACATGCTGTCTGAGATGCGGCTTGTGCGCACGCTTCAGGTGTGGGTCAGACAGCGAGATGAGACGGCAAAGAGTTGCTTTCTGCAACTTATTGCACTTAATAACTTTTTAACGTAAAGCAATTCTCTGCTATATGTGTCGACCTAAAACTTTGACTTTTTGCAACATTTTGAAGTGGCCTATTATTAATCATTATTAATAAGATATCGCATGTCATTGCAATACGCATATCACAATATTTACATTTGCGATATTTTGATAATTTCGATATATCGTGCAGCCCTAACAATTTGTTTGAGTAATGATGACATTAGTTAATTAACATTTTATTTACACATTAGTGTTTTGCTTTTCATTTTTAGGTAAAAATCATACACAATACAGAACGATGTTCCCTAGCAAGATGAGCAAAAGTGTGGTATGTTATGCTTCATTATTGTGCCTCATAAATATTTAGGCCTATCTCACTTTCCATTTCAGGGCTCGCAAAATTTGAAAATCCCTGGTAGCCCTTCGGGCAGGCATTCTTCAGATTTTGGTAGCCCAAAAATGAATTTAACTAGCCCGAATAAAATATATTGTATTTTTTCTTCAAATAACAAGAGAGTAGGGGTGCAACGGATCACAAATCTCACGGTTCGGATTATATTACATTATCATATCAAATTTTGAGTCACAGATCGGATCATTTTTCAGATGAGCAAAAAAAAAATGGTTCTTTATTATTTAAGTAACACTTATTATTTAAAGAACAATTTACTACTTTGATACCACAGCAAAAACTAGTAGCAAATAGAGATGTAACGATTTTCTCAACTCACGATGTGATATGATTCACGATACGGATTTCACAATACAATTTTCTCACAATTTATTTTTTAACAAAATGAGATTTAAGACAAAAAGTGTCCTTTTGTTATTTCTAAGACTAAAAGGCTGCACATTACTTTGTGAAACTGAATTTAGATTGTAAAATGTTGAAATTTGTAACAAAAACAAAATGGTCTGACTTTAGCTTTGTGATACTACATAAAAAATCTGAACGAAACAAAAACAGCAGACAGGCTGAATGAGACGCAAATGTCACTCTCTTCACAGCAGGTGGCGCTTAAACAGCAGGTATTTATAGGCTGCTGCCCCTTTAAGACCGAATGCACGGATCCAATATAATGATGCACGTGAGATTTCTTTCTCCACTGTTTACCTTAATTTAAAACATGAAAATACTTGCCGAGATAGTTATTTTGAGATCATTTTGCGTGTATGTGTCCGTTCAAGCAAAAGAGTAATCAATTCTGTGTTCGTGCTCTGCCTGAAACACCGCTCTGTCGAACTGAATTCTTCATGCGCATGAATGGTTTAAAACGCTTGAATGTTTAAATTGGTAAGACTTAGAAACACGTGTAAATGATCAACTATGATCCGTTTCACCCCTACAAGCGAGTGAACAACGCGAAGCATGGAAGGGATTTTATTTAATCAATTCTGTGTTCGTGCTCTGCCTGAAACACCGCTCTGCCGAACTGAATTCTTCATGCGCATGAATGGTTTAAAACGCTTGAATGTTTAAATTGGTAAGACTTAGAAACACGTGTAAATGATCAACTATGATCCGTTTCACCCCTACAAGCGAGTGAACAACGCGAATCAAGGAAGGGATTTTATATCCCTATTCAAGATAGCCTATCGGGCAGGGCAGTGATACATTTTGGTAGCCCGACTGGAAAACACAATAGCCCCGGGACGTCGGGCTAGCGATTTTGCGAGCCCTGCAATTAGTCTTTGTTTAGCACTACAATGACCTGGACAAGGGAAAACAAAGACTGTGGATTAACAAAAAAGAAAACAGAAATCATGGACAACTGACAAGCGTGAGTCTGAAGAACCAGGTGTTCTGTTTCTTAATTGAACAATTTACATGCAAGGTTTAAAACATGTTCTTTTTTTTCTTCCCTAAATTATGGAAAGCATTTTGAATCATCCATCAGTGTTTTTCAAATTTAGCCAGCAAAGTCTTAAAAAAAAAACGTAGGCCTTTGTCATGTCTGTTTGATCATGCATTTTATCATGTTTATTTATGGAAGGTTAATGATGTCAGTTAATTGGTTAAGAATTTGCCAAATGCATCTACCACCCTGGCCAATTAATCAAACAACATGAGACTTTTTTGAGACTGATTTTGAGAACACAGGTAAGGGATTTTTGTGTGTGTGCATACAACACTTTATGCGGTAAGAAACAAATGACCAGTCCTTTCGAAAACGAAGGAAAAACTGGTAAAACTGTTTTTCTAATTATTATTGTCTAAATTTAAATACCTTTCTTTAGTCAGGAAGCTTGGTGTTTCATCTTTGAAGAATATCGGTTGATCCAGTGACTGGTCACTTTTCAAAGATGAGCATGAAGGTGCTGGAGATGTTGCGCCATTTGATCTCAGCCTTTGACAAGAAGAAAAAGTGACTCTTACAGGGCAGGTAAAGAGAAACATTCAAACTATTTAATATATATATATATATATATATATATATATATATAAGTGTATGAAGAGGCAA